ATTAACACAAATTTCATCCATTTCATTTATCGCTGCATCAAGAACTGCATGGTGACGATTTTCAAAATCGCTTGAATTTTTGCAACTGGATACAGGAACAACTGGCAGTCAATGATAATTTCATTTCACAGATACTTTTCTCTGATGAATCAGATTTTACGAATCGTGGTCAAGTGAATCGACATAATATGCATTATTGGTCAGTGGAGAATCCCCATTGGTTAAGGCAAGTTGAACATCAACGCCCGTGGAGTGTAAACGTTTGGTGCGGTATTTTAGGTACTCAGGTAATTGGCCCATACTTCATAGAAGGTAATCTGAATGATCAAATGTACAGCGACTTTTTAGATAATGTTTTACCCATACTAATGGAAGATGTTCCACTTCAAATAAGAATGGATATGTGGTTTCAACACGATGGATGCCCAGCGCATTATTCACGAATATCTCAAGAAGTTTTGAATCGAAACTATCCGGGTCGATGGATTGGACGAGGAGGTCCTCAAAATTGGCCCGCACGTTCACCCGATTTGACTTCTGCCGATTGTTTCCTGTGGGGAAGGCTAAAAGAGAGAGTTTACATGGATGTACCAACAACCCCAGAAAATATGTAGCAGCGAATTATCAATGAATGTGCAAACATTAGCGCAGAGACACTTATAAATGTCGGATTGTCTTTCAGACACAGAGTTGCAATGTGCATTAGAAACAACGGACATCATTTCGAACATTTGCTTCAATGAAACACTTGTGAGAGGCAAGGAGACTCAAAGTAATCAAGCACCCCGAAGGGAACAAATTACTACTACGTCCCACGTCGTTGTTCCTGGGTAAAGCTAAAAGTAGTCTAAGAATGCATTGCAGGAGGGTAGACGGTGTCACATGATAGCATTTTCAAAAATATCAAAAAACTTACTTTGATGTTCCTAATCTGATGTGTATTTTTTTGAGATATTACCATTTTTCAACAATTTTCAACTCATTTTCATTTTTGCCGATTACAGTGCCATCTATCATGAAACGAAAAAAATGTCTCATACAAAAGTTACATATTTTTTCACGGAGAATCCAAATCTGCAATAAAAAATAGGGGTTTCTATTTAAGATTTCAAAGTTCACCCCCTCCCGCCCCCGGGGGTGGTGCAGGGGGTCGATCTTTATGTTAATGGATGACCCTCTTCGAGGTGAACAACTTTTATTGCAACTTTTTTTTAATCCGATTTGTATTTTTCCAAATATTCTGAAAACAGTTTTAAATGCCTCACTCATGTAAATGTAGTTAATACTGCATTGCTGCCTTTACAAAATTTATTGTTATAGCAGCTAAGGCCACTTAGCACCACCACCAAGACACATGCAATTTTGGCTAATATTCTTAGCATCACTGCAAGTATTTTACGTACTGTTGCTAAAGCTAAATGGCTGAATTGTATACAGCTAAATATTACTTGTTTCTAACAGCTAATATTTTTTGCTGCAGTATCTAAATTCAAAGAGCTAATAAATTGAGGTGTGGCAGCAACAACATTAGCTGTCCCTATTGCAAAGACACATTTTAGCTGTCACTGCTAAATTTTAGCTCTTTTGGCTAATCTTTTCTTTGCGTGTGGTAGCAAAGGATCAGTACAATGTTCTTGTTCTGCTCGCAATTGTATGTTTTCTCGTGGTTCAGTTACTAATACATTTTGTGATTCTTGAATACGATTTATAATTTGCATTAATGGAGCATCAGGCTTTCTGACCATTTTTTTTAATATTGCAAATAATTTTCAAAAGGAAATGCACTGTAACAATCTAAATTTCCAAAAATTTTACAATCATCAACAATATGAATTAATTCATGCACATTGTGTGAAATATATTCTTCTCCATAGATAACTATAAATTCTTCAAACATACAGCCACGATATATGGACAAGAAACGGTGCAACTCATGAAATCGTGGATCAACACAAAACTCAAGATCTGCACCGTCAACCAACAAAGATCATTTCTACTTCGATGTAGACGACAGGATGTACTACCACCACACATTGACAACATTCGACTTAAGTTTTCCTTCTATAGTAAAAGTGCCAATAACAAATTTAATTCTCTTAAAAAACGTAATCAAAGAACACTATTAAACTTGGAAATCAGAGACACATTTAACAATCTGAATTTCTTACGTTCTAAGATTCAAAAAATAGAGAAATTTCTTCGTGAATCTCTGTCAGATATGCTTGTCACTGACTTTTTCAACTTCAATCGTAATAAAATAGACAAACATAACAAAGAAATGAAATTTAAACTGATTAAGAAATTTGATTGGATTACACGCAAAAGAGAACACCTCTTAGAGACTTTCTTAATATTGATAAATCCAAATGGATTGTTAATGCCAGTGACAAGCAGATCCCTGACTCGGTATCGAATTTTTTGAGTTTGGGTGAAGGGTTTGGCCTACCAATTAACAAGACCCAAAAGAGAGACTGTGTTCGTTCTGTCTTAGAAACTGTCAAAAATTTTGAGGTAAATTGCCACTTGATTACAGATGATAATATTACTAATGAAACTAGATCTTCCTTAGCAAGCTCACTGCATACATTCCTTAGCCGTAATACACATATTAGCGCGATAGATAACTATTTTTTAAGGGAGTTCTCTAAATGTAAAAAATTTTTATCTGTTAACGAAGATGTTTTTGTCACTAAAGCTGATAAAGGACAGGTAACTGTAATTATGGACAAAAACGATTATATTAACCGTATGACTAGTCTGCTTAACGACAAGACCACTTACAAACAAATAAAAAAAGATCCAATCAAGTCGCTAACTTCTAAACTGAACTCCCTAGTAAAAACTTGGCGTGATGAAGACATCATTGAGGATTACACTTATAAAAGACTAAACTGTACAAATGGCAATTTGCCCCGCTGTTATGGACTGCCAAAGATACACAAAACTGGTTTCCCACTGAGAATTATCGTCTCATCGATAGGAAGCCCCTTATACAATGTGGCACGTTTTCTGCACGATATTCTCGAGAAGTCAATCGAAAAACCAAGATCACACATAAAGGATAGTTGGTCCTTTGTAAGTGCCATCAGAGACAAAATAATTAACGAAAACGAAATTCTTATTTCTCTGGACGTTACGGCACTTTTCACTAACATCCCCAAGGAGTTGATAATAGAAGGAATCAAAAAACGATGGCCTGATATATTAAAAAAACTAAATTAAATTGTGCCCAGTTTGTATATGCTATCTCCTTAGTGCTAGAGTCAACTAGTTTCCAATTCAATGGACAATTTTTTGAACAAATCTTTGGCAGTTCAATGGGATCACCGCTCTCACCAATTCTAGCCGACATTGTCATGGAGGATCTTGAGACCCATTGCCTGCAAAAATTAGAATTTGAAATTCCGATATACTATAGATATGTCGACGACATCTTTGCAATTGTTCCTGCAGATAAAATAGATCACATTTTGAATATTTTCAACAATTACCACCCTAGACTGAAATTTACTCATGAGACGGAAAACAATAAATCAATCTCCTTTTTGGACACTTTAGTAATCAAACATGACAACAGACTTAAAACTAATTGGTATAGAAAACCGACTTTTTCAGGCAGATACGTTAACTATCTATCCAATCATCCTCAAAAATACAAACTAAATACCATAATTGGGTTAGTGGACAGAGCAATTTTATTATCAGATACCCAATTTCATGATTCCAACATAGAAATTGTAAAAGAGATTCTCAGGAACAATTGCTTCCCGAAGGAGGTCGTTGACAGACACATTAAAAAACGGTACAAAGAGTTAAAACAACACAACTTTCGGACAAATACTGATGACAAGCCTTCTAAACCAAAATTCAATACACGTAATTGTATACCACTTCCATACATTAAAGACATAGGCCATGGTATTTTACGCAATCTCAACAAATGTGGTCTTAAGATCCTCCACACTATACCCAATAAACTCAACCGAATTATAAAGAAAGGCAAAGACATTTTGAGTACAAGCAAGAGAACTGAAGTTGTATATAGGATTAACTGCAACAATTGTGACGCGTCCTATGTAGGACAAACCAAACGACATCTTGAAACACGAGTAAAGGAACACTGTAATGACATAAAAAAGCATGAGAGCAATTTATCGGTAGTAAGCAGACACCGTTTAGATTGTGATCATGACTTTAAATGGAAGGAACCCGAAATTTTACACAATGAAAAACACACGCGGAAACGTGAAATCGCTGAGATGTTTTTCATAAAAAAAGCAGAAGAACGCCATTAATTTAAAAAAAGACACCGAAAATTTAAATCCTGTATACGATAAAGTGCTGGAACACATGTAAATTTACACTTATTGATTACACTAGGTTCATACCACACGTATTATTTTTCTCTCTAGTCCAAAATCACTGTTTACCCGACTAGAGCCAATAGGATCGTCCAACCAACACATACCTTTTGACAATTTTATCTGTCATCCGCCAGTTCAATCTGTTACCTCGTCCAACACACATCTCGGGACGTTTTTACTCGTGTTTCAACAGTTAACAATGCAACTTCAATTGACATTGCACTCTCCAACTAAAGAGTGCAACCAAAATTTCTCCCTCTTATTCTTTTGACTAATACGTAAGTTAATTTATTTATTTAGTTTATATTTATTCTTATTCTTATTATGTGTATATACAATTTTAATCTTATTTCTTTGACCAATATACCAACTTACCTATTTATTTAGTTCATATTTATTCTCATTTTTATTATATACATATACACTTTTAAATCTTATCTTCTTGACTAAATCTTATCATTTTTAATTTTAACTATGTGACTGACTAAATTAACTTATTTATTTATTCCTTTGACTAATATACTAAATTTATTTATTTATTTATCTTATTTATTGTTATTTATTCTATTTATGGTACTCTCTTGCTTGTACACAGTCTACTAACATAGAGATATTGGCCAAACGAACGATACGAGATCAGGGATAATTAAGTAACAGGTATAAATTCACGATTTACTCATAATCTCTCTTAATCTACATTCGAATTATACTGTATTTATTTTATATAAGCTTAGTGACGAAATGTACATGATTACAGATAACTTGAAAAGGGTCCAAATCCAGGACCGAAACGTCGTTTTTATAATAAATAAAGGCATTGGCCAGTGTAGGTCGTTTTTGTAAAATACTCATCATTAACTATAAATTGTTTTATAAAATATTGTAACAGTGACTGTGCATAATCTAGATATTTCATGTTAACTTCAACACTAATTAAAATTCTAATAGCAGCATGTAAAGATATGAAATGTAAGTATTTATCAAGTGGTAAAATATTTTTTAAAGTAACTGGACCACAATATAATAAAAAATCTGAATTCGGTTGCTTTCCAACGTTTACATTCATCTAAAGAATGTGTTTTTCTTACAAAATCAGATGGAATATAAGATTTTATTCCAGTAAGATAATTTGAAATTTCTTTTATGTGTATTTTTGATCATTTATGTGCAGCAGGCCCAAATAACCATATATTCAAAATCATTTTTTTTACTACACCAAGACATACTAAATGCATGTATTCAAGAGGAAAACTGCTTACCATATTAATGGAAGATATATTTTCTAAAATTAATTTCCCTAAATGATGTTCAGATTGAATTCTATTACAAAAATTTTTATTTGTCCTCTTCTTACAATTAATTTTAGGAAAACAAACTCTCCCCTTTACATATATCCCTTTCTGCATACATTTAGTACATGAAAAGAATCCAGTATGGCCTTTACAATAAGTAATAAATGATTTTGCAGGACTATCACAAATAAATGCTTTTATAAAAAATGGTATTTTATGGTTGTTATATGTAAAACCTTGTTCTGATGATTCTGTAACTCCTCTTACAAAGTTTAATAAAAAGTCATTAGCATTATTAGGTTTTTCATAACCATGATATATACCAATTACAGATACATATTGAAGATATTCAGCTAATGAGCATAAAATAGGATATATTTGACTGCTTAAACTTTTGCTAAGAGGTAAACCATCAATGTTAATTAATAAATTAATTCTTGTCATCACGTTTATGAGATACATGAGGACAATATGAAGTCAGAATGCATATAAATATTTTGCTATCTGGGTATTTACCACATCGTACATCCTGAGGTGTATTTACATCAAATATTGAAAGTAATTTGGTTTAATGTGTTCATTTTTCATTCCTCTATGTTGTCTGAAGAGGATTTTGATGATATTTTGACTTGAAAAACATGTATTGCGGATAGTTTCAAAATGGCGTAAGAATGCAGGTTGGCGCACCGAAGAGGGCGTATCCCGTTTGGACACGTAACGATTGGACACCGCTCGATTGGACACGCACTATTGGACACACATTATTGGACACCGAAATCATTGGACACCGCATTATTGGACACAAGCATTATTGGACACCGCATTATCGGACACAAGCATTATTGGACACCGCATTATTGGACAATGCATTTTTGGACACCGCATTTTTGTACACCGCATTATTGGACACAAGCATTGCAAGAATATTGTGCTTTACAGAAATACGCAAACCCGATACAAAATGTGTCCGATCGAGCCTGTGTCCGATCGGAAAATATTGCCGTGTCCGATCGGTTATGTGTGCAATCAGGACAATCCCAATGCAGTGTCCAATCTTGCAATGCTTGTGTTCAATAATGCGGTGTCCAAAA